CACTCACTCACTCACTCACTCTCTCTCACTCTCTCTCACTGTGTCTCTCTCTCCCTCTGTCTCTCTCTCGCTCTCTCGCTCTCTCTCTTACTCTCTCTCTCTCTTTCACTCTCTCTTACTCTCTCTCTCACTCTCTCTCTCTGCCCCCCCACCTCTGCCTCCCTCTCCACTCTAGCAAAGCCACTTATCCATACGTACGCACTGCCATGTACCACAGCTAAACATTATGCCATCTCAGCTGATGGCGAACCTTCAGTTATCCGGTAACGATATCATGTCATGTGTCCAACAGTAACACGTAAATTATACATGTATTGTTTTGCATTTTTATAGCCTATATCCTTACACGAAACATTGCTTACAGTGTACGATTACTCCTCAAATTCTAAACAGTAATAATTGTGATAATAATGATAATAAAATAATAGTGATCATGACTATATTTTATATGTATATATACAGCATACCATTTGCGCTTTACAACTGTTATTTCCCCAGCAGACTCTGGAACACCCAGAAGCATTCTCGGCTTTCTGGGAAGCACACAGTGCAAACTGCGGATTGCACACCCTCAAACACAAACAAACAGACAAAATCTTTCGCTGTCCAAAGCCGGGTACCCATTCCCACCTAGGTGAAGTGAGGAAAATTCGTGTAAAGTGTCTTTTCTATCTAAGGACATAAAACCGTATCCCTCACAGGGCTCGAACCCACGACCTTACGTTTGCAAGTCCGACAGCCTAACAGCGAGGTCATAAAAGTATACAAAAACTTCCACTGTTGCAAGCTGCCATTTCGTTCCCTCTGAATCACAAAAGTTCTACTCGACATTTTTGGCCTTTTTGAGTTACTAAGACCTCTAGGTCAGAAACTACATTAAATGTAACGTAGTACATTGTCATGTATCTGCTCTATCAAAATCATAAGATTATTTGTAGTCTTCATCAAGATATTTAAAGAATTGCATTGTGAAAAGCTTGACACATTTATTATTATTGTGAAACTCAAAAATTTCGATGTCAACTCTCTCAAACTCAAAACTAGACATTGAGCAGAGAGAACTCTTTGTAATTCTGTGGTCCTTCAAGCTTCCATACATGCTTAGATGCTCTCTCATTGCCTGATTATAATATTCCGTTGTCATTTAACATTCTGCTACGAAATGTCAAAATTTCTAAACGGTAAAAATTAAGTATGTTGGGAAGAGTTTGATGAAGTGTGCTAATTGGCCTGTGTCTCAATCCTTTTCTTAAATTAGTAACGAATTTAGACTCATTAAACGTTTTATATGCCAGGAATAAGGTCGTTTTTTGCTTCTTCTGAAAAGGTCGTATTTTGAGATACGACAAAGATAAATGACAGCGACTAATTGTAGAATTGCATAATAATAATAATACTTTGTGCAACATTTGGGTTCACTAGAGAGAGATGGAATAATTACTGTTGGAGAGAGAGAAAGAGAGAGAGAGAGAGTGAGTGAGAGAGAGAGAGAGAGAGAGAGAGAGAGAGGGAGAGAGGGAGAGGATGAGAGAGAGAGAGCGCGAGAGAGAGAGAGCGCGAGAGAGAGGGGGATTGAGGGAGGGGGAGTGGGAGAGATAGAGAGAGAGGAAGAGGGTGGAAGATAGAAAAAAGAGAGTGAAAAGGAAAGTTAGAGGAAGAAAAAGAGTGGACAAACGGGAGGAGACAGATAGAAAAAGAAAAAAAAGTGAGAAAGACGCAGAAAAAAGAGAGAAAGATAGAGAGGGGAGAAAAGTGTATGTGTGTGTGTGTGTGCGTGCGTGTGTGTGTATGTGTGTGCGTGTGTGTGCGTGTGTGTGT